TTTTCTTGTAAATTTATTTGAATTTTCCCTGAATTTTCCCTGTCCCTTCATTGACGAGGAGTGCAAACAACGAAGTACATTATGCATACAGAAAGTGTAGGGTTCAGCCTTTTCAAAACTTCATAATACAAATGACACTAGGAGTCAATCATGAATTCAATACAAATTTATTTGAGTTGTGTAACGTATTTTCTGCGGTTTATCTGGCATTTTAAGGCTAGCAATATTTTAACAAGCAAAATAAATTAACACACTCTTTGAGCTGTGGCATGAAAAAACTGCAGCCGTGAGGTTAATTTTCATCCATGTGCCAGCTAACTTGCTGATGAACCAAAAATTGCATTAGTAGCATTTCTTTGAAGCAGCAGAAATCAGATAAAAGAAAATTGCTTAATCTCATTGGATTATTAAAGGTGAGTTGGGGGCATTTTTGTGTTGTAGAAATAAAATTAAAATTGATGTTTAATGGGATTTTCAGGGAATTTCACTTGTGTTCAGTGAAAAGCTACTGTGGTAATAATGAACAATACCTAATTCTCCTAAAGAAGGTTTAATGTTTTATCCCAAAGAAGCAAGTCCCTATTTAATATAATGGGTTCAGGCCCTTCCTGAGTAGAGTGTATTTACAATAACCTAGAAGGTCTGCATTATGCACTCTTTAAAGAAGATTAAAGAGTTTTCTTATTACTAAGGTTGTACTGTCCAGGGCTTAGTCTGGTCATGAATTGGAAAACAAGCCATTATGGAGTAATAAAAGGTGAAGAGTGTTTAAACTCTGAACTGCTCTACCTGGCACTTGATACTGAAGGATTGTGTTGTGTTTCCAATCTCCGACTCTCATAACGACTCTCACCAGGTGAGGGTTTTACTGATGGTTAATCATGCAGATCGCCCCATACGAAACAGCTAGCATTCACATTTAACATCCTACAAAGATTACATGAGCTACATGTATTGCACTAGAAATATTTTTCGAGACCTGCAGGTTACTACTGTGCCTTGTCTTTGTTAACTTACTGTACTGTATATTGTCATTATATGAGCAATGTAATTGTGGTTTAGAAAATGCCTAACATGAACTAAACACCACAAGGGGACTGATAGTCCATGGAAAATAAATGATCAATTATTTATGTTCAGTCCTTTGCTGGCAGACCTTAATTTAAAGTGACACTCAAGAACTGTGCTATGTTCATACTTGTGACACTAACTGGACTTGGACAATTGGACAAACGAAATCCCGAGACAGGTGATGAGGTTGTTCTGTAGTTCCCAGATCCAGACAGCAGAAAGGTTGCTGGATTTTTTGATATTCAGAATTTAATATGCGTCTGCAAAGGACAACACATTTGGAAACTTTTTTGGTGTTGATTTATTCCCCCGTCCAATTGTTCATTAAACTTAACTTTTTATCCTTTCAGCGCACTTCATCTTATTGTTGTACACTGTGGTGAATGAAAAGGTTCATATACACCTGTGTAATACTGATATTTTTACTCACTTGTCAAGAACCACAAGCGCTTTCATATGATTTAGATGTTTTGCGGCAATTTCAAATGTTTGACTGCAAAGCCTTCTCTATCTATCAAAATGTTAAACCGGCAGAAATAGGTCTATTGTTTTAGCACCTAAAAAGAAACAAAGAAGCAGATGCAAATTACAAAACAAATGTGTATGTGGGAGGTCAAGAAGGAGGTGGGAGAAGATTTAGGGGGGTCGTCATTTTCATTTTCTGTGTTAAGCCAAGTCCTAGATTTGCACCCCGGCTAACAATTTAGTTGGATTAGTGATCTTTTTTTTATTGAAAGTGACCCTTAATGACCAGACATAATTGTTTATAAATGTCATTTGTATGTAAATCTCTTGTCCGATTAGAATCCACTCAGTGTGCTTTTATTGTTATTGTCATTATTATTATTAAAAAAGTTGCTCCTGGAGAAAAAGATTACCAAGCCATTAAACATGTTGTCTGACCCATTAACTGACAAAAACCTATTAAGGGCTTAAAAATGAAATTACATACTGTACATTGAAAAACGCCTGACAGCACTAAAGCACCACAGATGACGATGTCCAGGTTAAGATCTGTATCATTTTCATTGTTACATTTGAAAAATAATCAGACCTCACTGTGAAGTAATACAGCATATTAGTCTGAAAGAGAGAATGAAAAGAGAATCTCATTGGTTCCATCTTTTCTTTGGGAAGAATTCCGATTTGTTTTTCAAGTAGAAGACGAACGCTTCGTGCAACACCCTTTGCCTTTTTATTTAAAAACAAGAAAACAGCCCAAAGTTGGATCATCACCATCGCTTACAGTCGAATGCGGAGCCGCGGTTCTTTGATTTATTTTACCTTGTTTCCTTTATCTGTTTCTTTGATTGACGTTGCCAAGTCGAGCAAGAAGAAATCGGCAAACCGCCACTTAACAAATTAATTACAGGGGACAATATAAGCTGCTGGTTGCCAATACAGGGGCCTGCGGCCCATTGTGTGCTGGCTGATAATGGGCATCTGTAATGACTGGTAGCTGCACAATAGGCTTACTCATGTGTGCAGCTATCTGGGGTGAAGCTGCCCCGCCCACAGAAAAGACCGCAACAGTTTGTGCTGCGCACTCCCAGCAGCTGGGCCTCATCATTGGAAGCAGATAGATCCTGTTCACGAGACAAAACAGTTTGGCTTTACTGTCCTCATAGCCCAGATAGAGACACACCAGGAGCATATGGTCTTTTCAAGGCATCCACTGCGTCTAGAAACGTGTTGAATAAGAAACTCATCTAATACCCCCAACCCCACGATTCCCTGGTGTGTGTATTCCCAAGACACCTCAATCTGCGCCATTGATTTGCTAATCTAGATCTATTCTGTGCAAGTGTGCGTGTGTGTGTGAGTGGGCGGGAGAGTGTACACACTGCGTATGTGTGAAACAGACCGAGAAAACAGACTGGCCTATATTTCAAGCCTAATGATTGTTAATTGAGGTAATGAATAGAAACCTTGAGGGGCCTATTGCCCCAGCCTGGTAAATTTTAACAAAACTATTAATTACTGGAAGGAGAGGTGAAGTGCTTCTGACACAAGTCAGCAAGAGACAGACCAACTGGTGCCATATTGTCACAAGGGAAAATTTGAATGTAATTGGCTTTAGTGTCTTTCTTCCAGGAAAAAAAAAAGGGAAGAACTAAAAGGTCAAGCTTTTGAACCCTCGAAGGCCTTTGACCACTTTGCAACCTGTTGCTCTGCACTTCTAGACACGAGGCACGGATTTCGGCACCAGCACAAACTTCCATCTGCGGATTTGCTTTGACGTTTAATTTTTCTGTCTCTACCAGATTTACAACATTATACAGACAGAATGCAACATTATTTCTCTCGTTGTTTTAGAAAATCTATTATTTGGACTGGATACATACCCGCCATAACAGGAAATACAGATGGACTCTGAATGTATTTAATATTTTTACTATTTTACCATTTTCACGTTACATTCCTAGAATTGATTGTCATGCATTCCTCTTTTCCAGTGCCTGAACAGTAGTTTTCTAATACTGTGTTATATTAGAACTACATCTTGCAACATTAAAACATACAGCATTACTGCGCACAGACAGAGGCCATTCAATTGTGTGACTCGTAAAGGTAATTTTGTGAACCTACTTGTCAGTATTTATGTATTCTTCTTTCCCATTAATTGTTTTTGTCTATTTCCTTTTTCCTCTTTGGTTTTTGTTGTGAATGTGTGGAATAGGTTGTGAATCACCACTTCAAAGTGTCATGACTCCAAGCTCAAAAGCAACAGAATGTGAAAACTGTGAAGGGGTCTGAAATCTTTTACAAGGCACTGTAGATGGCCTTTAGTTTTCTATAGGAAAGTCTCCATCCAATATAGACACCAACATAAAACATCTAATATAGAAAACTCAATTTAATAAGGGACACCTACTAAATATAAACTAATAACAATTACTGCACAGTATAGTCTAGTATACTACAATTTATATTGCTTATAACCATACAGTGTACAGTATATTGTAATACAGTAAATTAAGGTGAATGATTTCTGTATAAATTCCTTTTTTTATTTTAGATTTTTTCCAAACTGTTCCAAAAGTTGTTAACAAGACTGGGAAGACCTAACACAATCTTAAAAATCAGGCATGAGAAAAACAATTCCCAAGTGCGGGAAATATTTTGTATGGATTGTTGAAATATCAAAAACAGTCAGCTGATTAATTCCTCTGTTATTTCAACAGACTAAGGAACCGACATTCACATTGCGATTGATTAAATTCACATTATTCAAAAAAAGCAATATAACATTAATATCGAATTAGTTATGAATTGGAATTTTAGATAAAAGGCTTCCTCTATTGTTCCTGAAATAATGTAATAAATCATGTTCATGTTCGTTTTGAAAATGCGTTTATTAAATAAGAGAAAATAAACCACATTAAAATAAGCGAATCCCTGTACCTTTGGAAGAGAACTACATGATCATAACAATATTAGATTTTAAGATCACTCTCATTTTTCTGTCGCTACACAATTATGTATTACTTAAAGGAATAAGATAAAAAGCATAGGCTAACATTTTGTAACCGGAGATCTAGTAAATGTTTCATGATTTGGTGTAAAGGTGCCCATGGTAATTTAACTAATATTGTTCAATGATTTCACAAGTTAGATTTCTTGGACCGGCTGTCCATCCTCACGTTTGACTACAATTCCCCCAGCGGGCGTCACTGCGCTTAGGATCAATAGCGCCCCCTGTCATTCAATGTCTGTACGATATGCTTTGGAAGACAAGTGAAAGCGTTTCAGCGATTACAAACTGGTATGTCGTTCACCATTTGAGAGGCGAGGCATAAAAAAATGTCTTTTAGCCATGTGCAAAACTGTCGCACAGCATGGTTTATCGCATGCAGTTTAAGAGCTCGTGCGGTCGGCCTCGCCGACGCGGACGCGTTCGTGACGTCATCAAGCCGAGCCGGCCGCGGGTTGGCTCTCAGGAGACCTTTAACTTCAGTCATCGCGAGGAAGACGGAAGTGTTCAAGTTTGGGACGTCGCGCCTGCCGGGATTTGAGAATAACGAGTGTACAGGTAAGGATAAATATGGTTGAAGATTGTACGCAATCGCTATGCAATGTTCTTGGAGCCTAGGAAGGAACGAGCCTTCCTTCTGTAGCTTCAGTTTTCGGAAAGGCAGGAATGAATAGGCGTTGCTAATGATCGAATTGACGTTGGCGTGTGCATTTCTTCGCAGTAAAACGAGTTAAATACTTTCTAAACAGGTTTATTTTTATTATTTTGTTCAAGCATGTTTACTTATTAATAATGTGAGTATTTTAAGCGTATCCTGTATGGAATGAAATACGGCATACATATGCACAGCTGTAATATACAGCATAATATGGTAGTTATTATTAAAGACGATGTATTAACTCTGAGAAGGTTTCACAGTTTTGAAGTGACAGGAGTTCCTTGTCGAATGTGGCCCACTAATTCATTTCCTTGCTGAAGCGTTCCTTCCTGGCAATACGGTTAGAAATCAAAGGCAGGAAAACCAGATCTTGATGATAATGTTGAATCCAAACGGAAAATCTCGCAGCGACCAATATGTATGAAATGTCTTGTCTTGTGTCTTTCTTTTAAGGAAGATATATTAACATGGCGGGCAGTGTTTAAACCCGGGATGACACGTCAGTATGTACCTTTCACTCCGGAAACATGAGGGTACCGAAGTTCGCCAGCGCGTTCCTCTTCGTCGCCTGTGTCGTGGCCTACCTGACGTATGTCAAGCGGCATGTGGACCTCGCGAAGCCCTCGCTGTTCCAGGAGCCCCCCGGCTTCAGGAGCGGCGAGCGTGAGGGGTGCCAGCCGGCCTCGGGGGACCTCAATCACAGCAGCCTCCAGTATGGGATCATGTTCGACGCGGGGAGCACTGGAACCAGGATTCATGTCTTCCAGTTTGTGCAGGAAGTAAATGGTACAGTAGGTCACTGGCGTCGCAGCCAGATTTCTGGATTCTGAAAAGCAGTAGAGTTGTTTGCAGTTTTCATTGAGTGATCTATATAGCATTCCAGTGGGGTACTTCTGTTTTTTTTCTCACTGTAAAGGTCTGTCGTGTTAGTGTAGACGATTTGCCTCGTTACCTGTGAAAAATGATACATGAAATTGGTGCTTTAATAATAGTGTGTAGGGCTGGGTCAGTGGTCTGCCTTGTCGTGCTGCAGCCCTGGGGTCAATGCCCATGGTGCTGTTTTTAGGTTACTTACAAGCTGTCCCTGCTGTGATGTGAT